CTACCCTGGGCAGAGGGTGGGACTGGAAGACCTTCAAGGTCCCTTCCAAGGCTGAGATTTTGTGATTCTCTACCATTCTCAAAAGGAAATATTATTCTCGATTTCTTTTTTATTCTCACAGCAGATAAAGGATTGTAACCAAAGATTTATCTGCAATTCAACATATAATAGAAAATCAACACAAGGCAGCAGTCACCAGAAAGCATGGAATTTGGGAAACTCTTGGATCCCCCGTCAGACACAATCAGCACTCCGGAAAACCACAAAAAACCCCATGAATGCTCAGAGTGTGGGAAATCCTTTTCTCGCAAATCAGTGCTTTTTACCCACATGAAGATCCATGTGGGAAGTGGATCCAGTCAAGGTTTGGAGGGTGAGAAATCCTCTGGAACAGACACCAAAGGTCTCAGAAACCCCCCCAGACTAAAACCCTATAGATGTATAAAATGTGACTTATGCTTTGGTCGAAAGTCAGACCTTCTTACACATCAGAAAATCCACACGGGAGAGAAACCCTATCAGTGTCTGGAATGTGGGAAATTTTTTTGTGAGAAATCCACCCTCAGAAACCACGAGAGGCTTCACACAGGGGAGAAGCCTTACAAATGTTGGGAATGTGGAAAGAGCTTTTCTCAGAACTCAAGTCTTTGGCTCCATGAGAAGGTTCATGCAGGAATAAAATCGTACAAATGCTTTGAGTGTGGGAAATGTTTCACCCAGAGTTCAGGTCTTCGGACTCATGAGAAAATGCACAGAGGGGAGAAAAAGGAAAAGTGCCTCGAATGCGGGAAATGTTTTTCCCAGAAATCAAACCTGATGCGACATCAGAGACGTCACACCGGAGACAGACCCTATGAATGCCCAGAATGTGAGAAACGATTTACGTTTTCTTATGAACTTCAGAGACACGAGGAGTGGCACAAAGGAGAGTTACGCTATAAATGTGGGGAGTGTGGGAAAAGTTTTAGTTTCCTTGGAGGGCTTCAGAATCATCAGAGAATCCACACAGGGGAAAAACCATACAAATGTGGGGAGTGTGGGAAATGTTTTTCACAAAAACAACACCTTGGAACGCATCAGAGGCTCCACACAGGAGAGAAGCCATACAGATGCGTAGAATGTGGAAAGTGTTTTACTCAAAAGGGAGACCTTTGGACACATCATAAA